AGGCTAGCGCTCTACCACTTGAGCCACAGCGCCACTTCTGGCTTTTTTCTTTTTGCTTATGTGGTGCTGAGGAATCGATCCCAGGGCCTCATGCAAGCAAGGCAAGCGCTCTACCACTGAGCCACCTTCCTAGCCCATGGTTTTTTTGTTTTTTGACAATGATAATATTATATTGGTCAGTTATTTGCTATGGAGGAATTGTGCTAACCAGTGCAGTTTGTCTCATTTAATTTCTGTCTTCTTACTGTGCATTTAATATGTATGGGACTGGGAGTAGTTAAGTTTCTTCCTCAGTGTGACAGGTTTCCTACATTCTGATTGCTTACCTTGAATCTCTCTTTGAGATTTAAATAAGAAAAATAGCTTTAAAGTAAGCTATGTGTACATCAACATAAACAGTTTCACCTTTTTAAAAAAGTTAACCAAAGTTAGTGCCTCATGCCTGTAATCCTAGGTACTCAGGAGGCTGAGATCTGAGGATTGTCATTCAAAGCCAGCCCAGGCAGGAAAGTTCTTGAGACTCTTACCTCCATTTAACCACTAGAAAAGTGGAAGTGGAATGGTAACTCAAGTAAAAGAGCTCAGAGACAGCACCCGGGCCCTGAGTTCAAGCCCCATGACCAGCCAAAAAAAGGGAAGTTAACCGAAGATTTCTATAAAAATCTCCCTTAAAAAAATTATGAAATCCAGGACTTTGATGGAGGCTTATTTTCACCTTTTCATATATTCGAATTAAAAAATTTGAAATGAGCAACAAATACTTTTGAAGCAGACTGCTACTTTTTGCCTTATAAAAGCTGATGTGACTGTTGATTTGTGAGGGTTGCTGTAGAAAGCTGATCACTGAATCCTACATTTTGGAGGACCAAATGCAGCCATCCTATATGTTGAAAATGAAAACATCAGAAATAAATACGGTGTGTATTTATTATGAGACAAAACTTCTAGATTGTTCAACTTCTGTCTATATGTCTTTGGTTAGCATAGTTAGACATTGTTTGGCCACTTTGGTGAAAAACCCAGGCACTAGACTTTTAAAACTGGAATATTCCTTTTAAGGAAGACAACTTTTAGAGAAAGAAATACTGTTCATCTATATAATCCACAGATTGTGTGGCAGTTTTAATTACGATGATAGAAATATTGCAGAATGATCTATCCCTGCCTCCAGAGCATTACTATCTTTTTAAAAAAGTGAAGCTGTTTATGTTGATGTACACATAGGGATGTACACTATATGGCCAATGAGCTTGCTTTAAAGATATTTTTCCTATTTAGACCTCAAAGTAAGAGAGATTAGAGGTGAGAGATCGGAAGGTAGGAAACCTGCCAGATGTGATAGGCAGAAGAAACTAAATTATATTCTATGTAATTAAACACATATTTCTACTCTTGGGTAATATAGATGTAATTTACCCACAGTGGACTACTTTTCTTATAACAAGGAATTTTAAAGAAGGTAGCAAAAAAAAAAAAAGAACGAAGAAGAAAAAAGAAATTACTCTAAAGGGAGATTCAGTCTAAAAGCTCAAATTGTATCTCCTACAGATTGCCTTTGCACATGATTCCACACGTGTGATCCAGTGTTACATTCAGTATGGTAATGAAGAGCAGAGAAAACAGGCTTTTGAAGAACTGCGAGGTATTTATATTGAAGATATAATCTCTCTCTCTCTATATATATAAACAAATAGAGATACTTATATTTCCAGAATGGTTCATTTATTTACTTCTTCCCCTTGTTTCTGAACATATAAAATGAGATTGTAAAATCAGGAAGTGGCGCTGTGGCTCAAGTAGTAGAGTGCTCGCCTTGAGCTGAAGAGCTGAGGGATAGCGCCCAAGCCCAGGGTTCAAGCCCCACAACCGACCAAAAAAAAAAAATGGAATTGTCAAATCATTGTAATGCATTTTATTTTTTTCAGGTGACTTGGTTGAATTAAGTAAAGCCAAATATTCCAGAAATATTGTTAAGAAATTTCTCATGTATGGGTAAGTTGCAATTTATGATAATGTACTTTAAAAAAAATTCTTGGACTGTGGCTGTGGTTGAGTTACTAGAAAAGTCTGGTCAGTCTGGGGTGTAGCTCAGTGGAAAAGTGCTTGCCTAACATACACACGAAGGTCCTGAGTTGAGTTCCTACTACCATTATAATTTATTGTTAAAGAAGTTCATGGTCATAGGCAGATGCTTGTGTTATTATTGAAATCAATATAAAATTATGGTCTGTCTTTATCATTGTTAAGGTGCTATTTTTATATCTCAAAGTTCTAGAAGAGTGATGGAGTAATCACTGTTAATTAGTTAATACTGTTTAGAGGGTAGAGAATTAAGAGGGGCTGATGAGTAGAATGAGGTAAGATCATTGGGTTAGGAAATACGAAGATGGGTATCCTAAATTAGGTGGAATTGGTACTTGTCTTGACTAATCTTTTTCAGTGAATTTGACAGTAACAACAAAAATATGTGACATATAGTTGACAGAATGTTGGAAAAAAGTACTCTTTGCTATTATTAGTTGTTTGGTTATTTTAGAGTAAACCAAGAGGTTTATCCTAGTTACTCAGGAGGATCACAGTTTCAAGCCAACCTGAGCAGGAAAATCCATGACACCCTTACTTTCACTTAACTACCAAAAAGTTGGAAGTGGGTCAAGTAATAGAACACTAACCTTAAACAAATTTAGGGACAGGACCTGAGTTTAAGCCCTAGCACCAGCATTCCCCCCCGCCCCCGCAAAAAAAAAAGTGGGTGGAATACTTTATTCTGTTTCCCTGCATCTTTGGCTTTGACTTTCTGTTTTCTTAATCTCTCCTTTTTCTCAAGCTAAAGAATTTAGTGGGATTGAAACTGGCAATTTGTATTCTTTGAATCCTTTTAGTCCTCACAGAAACTTTACTTCTCCTTTATAGATGCAGAAACTGAGGTATAAGAGGGTTATAGAACCTGCTCAGCACTTTCAGTCAGTCAGCAGAGCTAGGTTTCTCACCTGTGAATGCTGTCTGTGTAGTCAGTTCAAGGCTGACGTGAAAACACTAGGCAGTTTCATTTTCCTGCTCCTGAGCTTTTCTCTGTGGAAGACACTCATTGATTCGTTGGTGTTAGGATGTGTAAATTATGATTTATTGTCACCTTGCTTTCTCTTCCTATCACCTACTTTATTCGTGATTCTGTTGAGTTTAGAAGTAAGCCGCAGATTGCAGAGATCATCAAAAGTTTCAAAGGTCACGTGAAGAGGCTGCTGCGGCACACAGAGGCCTCCGCCATCGTGGAGTATGCCTACAATGACAAAGCCATTTTGGAGCAGAGGGGCATGCTGACAGCGGAGCTCTATGGGAACACTTTTCAGCTTTATAAGGTGACATTTCTAAGTTTTTTGTTCCCTTCTTGTGTGCTTATCCTTAACTTACTTTGCCTAATTTTAGAACACATTTTTACCTTGGCTGGTCCTTCAAGAGAATGCTTATACCTCCTGTGTTCTTAAATTGTTTTTGTCTGGGCTACAGTGAGCAAGTGATTGTTCTTACAGTTTTCTTCCTGAATGTTACCTTGAAATCCTGTTTCTGCTGCTCCGTCCCAAGTACTTTATGTCACCTCCTGTCAAACTGAGGTAAAAAAATTTAATCAATATCAAAGCAGAGCAGGCACCTTAGCGAGCTGTGACCATAGCTCATTAGATTCCTCCCGCTCTTCTTTGTGGTTTAGCATTCCCCTTATACTCACATTTTGTCTTGAGTGAAAAGAGAGTAAGTAGACCTGGCTTTGAATAAAGCACAAGATTGATTCTGAGCATAGCCAGTAATGGGAGTAGCATAGTTTGAGGAACTGTGTCCAGCCTTGGGGCAGTAATATACACATGCCTTTGAAGGGATGTGCACTGGCTGCCTCCATTAAATTTAGTTCCTAAGCTAAACTTGTTGTTGCTATTTATTTTTTGTAGTATTTAGCTTCTAGAAATGTCCACTAATTACAAAATACATGGTGGCAGTATTTATGAACTACTACTCAGTCTTATGATTAGTCACATAATAAGTGGTTGGCAAGTCCCATTGGGTGGGTGGTTGATTATAATTGTTTTTAACTGGGTTTTTTGGTACTGTTGGTCCTCCATATCCTTAGGTTCTGCTAAAGGAGCCAAACAACCACAGATCAAAAACTTTCAAAAAATATATGTTCTTACTGTACAGGATGTACATAGATTTTTCTTCCTTGCCGTTTTCCCAAAAACAATATAGTATGGCGGCTATTTATGTATCATTTACATTCTCAGGTATATTAAGGAATCTTGATGATTTTTAAGTGTACAGGAATGTATATATGAGTCATTTAAAAAACAAAACTTACTATTTTGTGTAAGAAATTGAACATCCTCAGATTTGTTTATCCATAGGGATTCTTGGAACCAACCCTAAACAGATACCAAGGAATGACTGTATTTACATGTGTTTATAGAGTAAGAATCAGATAACATCTGATAGGCATCTTAAGCTCATTTTAAACTTATTTTAAATGGCTGTAATTGTTCCACGTTCTGAAGTGAGGAAACTGACTTTAAAGGAGTTTGATTTTTCTTTTGTTGCAGTCTGCAGATCACCCAACACTGGAAAAAGTGTTAGAGGCACAGCCAGGAAAACTAGAACTTATTATGGATGAAATGAAACAGATTCTAACTCCAATGGCCCAAAAGTAAGAGAGAGCTTTTTTGTTTTTTTTCTTCACAAATTTGCAAGAGGCCTTTGGAAAGGGAAAGTTTTGCATAATCCTTACCCAGGGAGGGCAGATATTTCATCTTTATTGTTATTTATCTGTCCTAGGTGAGGATAGAAAAATTCTGATTTGAAACCATTTTTCCTTCGAAGAGAAGATGCTCCCTAGTCTTACATCATACTCAGTAATGTGTAATAATAGCTTCATCAACTTTCTTAAAGCAACGAACCATTTTTTCCCCAAAGCTGTAATTTTAGCAGGGAGTTTGAGGCACGAGGATCATGAGCTCGAAGCCAACCTGGGCTACATAAGCAAGATCTTGTCTCGATAAAAACAAGCTAAAAACAAGTACTCAAATACTTCATAGGTTATAAGACTTAGAACTCTGTATATATGGTACCCATTGGCATTGGTACCATAGCAAAGTGATTGGGACCAATGCTTCTGGGACTGGATTGTCTAGGTGTGATTCCTACCATTATAAAACATGTAACCTTGGACAGCCTAATTTCTGCCTCAGTTTCCATATCTATAAAGTTGGGATAATAATATTCTAATGGTAGTGCCTACTTCAGAGTTTTATGATTAAATGGGTTAATATTTCCAAAGCACTTAACAGTGCTTTGCCTACAGTAGTTTCTGTTGTTTGTAGACTGTGAATGTGAATTTTAGGTCTTTGGTCCAGAGCATCACCCTCCATTGTACAATGGACTGAATTCACCAAGTGTGACACTAGGGGGCATAGATTCAGAAGAGGTTGTTGTTGCTTAAACTGTTTTTTTGTTTTTGTCTATTCAAGTTTTAATCCTCATAAAATTATTTTATGAGACTGATTTTGAAGAATGCTTAACAGAAAGAAAAGAGCAATGGCAAAATAGCATTTGTGTTTCTATTCATGTGTTCAGTGTGAGGGGAATAATATAAGATGTCCTTATTGAAGAAAGTAGAGTATATGTTGAGTGATGATTTCATTTTGGCTGATTAGATACTAGAAAGTCATACTTTGTCTTGGTCATGGATGACACTAAATCAATTTTACACTCTGCAGGTTTTTTTTTTGTCAGAAATCATAGTATTGCTGAAAGATACAGTCAATACTGTGGCAAATTATATTTAGACAGATAAATAACATATTATATTTATTTGTCTAGATCCTATTAGGAAAAACCAAGTTACCTATCTTTGTGTGACTGTTTCACCAGATCTGATTTTTTCCTCTTTTGTTTTCAGGGAAGCTGTGATTAAACACTCCTTGGTCCATAAAGTATTTTTGGACTTTTTTACCTATGCACCTCCAAAACTCAGATCAGTAAGTTTGTGGATTTTGTTCTTAAAGTTAAGCAAAGAGAAAAAGCTATATAGGCATTTGAAGAGCTACTTTGATGTACATGGTCTCTTAAGGAATTTTAGAGTTGCTTTCTTATTTAGAACAGATAATTCACTGGACTTCCCAGTTATTTATTTTTTTTCACAGGAAACAATAGAGTTGACTGTAATTTTGTTAATGCTGTTGGAATTTTTATATTTTAATTATAATCCTGAGTAACTTCCACCTAACTTAAAATTAATATTGGAAGAATATTCAGTACTCATCTAGTTTTAATTTAAAGTATGCCAATGCAAAATAATAATAGCAATAGTAATCATACCCATGTTAAAGGTTAAGGGAAGATACTTAATGTAAAGCTAAATGGCCCATGAAAACCTGGACCTTAGGAGAAGGAATGGTGAATGTAGTAAATTGCACTGCCCTTCAAGTCAGTGATGAAGTACAAATGGGAATTCATATTTTAGTTCTCTGAACTTTGCAGCCTCATCATGCTGTGAACATCTTGCCCACCCATCCTCATTTTCTAATCACATGCGCTAACTAATATGTCAGCATGTACACTCACAATAACTTTGATATTCTCAGAACTAGCCTGCAAAATTAATCTCTCAGCGGTAGTCCTCCAGCTGAGCTTATAAAGGTATTCTGACTTGAGCAGCATTTCCTCTTGGAGAATTTTTCTTTGCTTGCACAAGTGAGTATCTTACACCTCTGGATAGCCTTAGGCAAATCTGTATATCCTAACTGACAGTGTTCACATGAATATATTCAGTGGTACAGAGTATTTTGTCTTTTTTAGTGTTAAATGAGTTCTTGTAACAACAAAAACAAACACATGAAAAAAAAATCCCAGCATTTTGAATTGAATAATCTTTTCTGACACTGGAGGATAATTTCAAAAGAGATTATAAAAAAACAACTGGGGATATAATTAGAATATATACATAACTGTAACCAGATAGCTTTAAAGAGAGTCATAAGTCCAGGTATGTTGTCTGAAGTCATTCTTGAGATGCATCCTGGGAAAGAATTATAAGATACTAAAGGATGAAATTGCTTGTTCCTTATTGATGAAATTAGGTAGTTATTTTTCTGTCTCCATACCTAATGTAAAATTTTAATTGGGAATAGAATAAATGTGTTTCTGTAACCATTAATTGCCAGAACTCATTTACATCCTGTGTGTTTATTTACACTTTGAAAATAGGAAATTATATATGTTGAAAGTAAAGGAGAAAGATTCTATTAAACCGGTAGGAAATTAGTATTATTTTTAACAAAGAAAGAGGTTATTTATAGGTGAAGGCTAAGCCTAAATGTTAGTACAGAGATCCTTAGGGAAATGTTCGTTGAGTGGTTTATAGTAAAGTTAATATAATTGTGGAAATAAACTAAACAGAAAATCCCCCAGAAAGAATTTATGACATGCTTGTTTCTTAGAGAAGAGCATTTGCTTTATTTATTTTTTACTTTAGCTGATGTGCTAAAAAAAAAAAAAACTCCCTTCTTAGCACTTCTACCTCTCAAACTTCTTTTTCTGAAAAATTGTTTAGAATATTATACATACAGCCTGTGACCTTCTTAAATAGCAATTGGTAAAAGTCTGCTTAATAGAAATTGCCTACCAGCACTTTTCAATGGAAAAGACTTTTATCAAAAGAGACTATATTTCTGTTTGTGTACAGACTTAAAAATTCTTTGCTGACTGTGTGTTCTTTACCTGACATCTTTCCTGTAAACAGATAAAGCAGCATAAAGAAAGAAAAAAGAAACTAAACAAGCATATAACCTACCATTTCCCCCTACCAGGAGCTGATTGAAGCCATCCGTGAAGCCGTGATATACCTTGCACACACACATGATGGCGCCAGAGTGGCTATGCACTGCCTGTGGCACGGAACGCCTAAGGTCAGTGTGTCAGCACTCACTGTCTGCTGCCTGCACCTGCTGGGCTTTGGTCTTTCCCCAATCACACATACATAATATTGCCTTCTCAAATTTATGTCTCAGGGTTTCATAGGAATTCGGCAGTTTCTTTGGGCCAAGCGTTTCTTCTTTGCTTTAATGATAATCTTTAGGCTTCATCGGAGCATGAGAAGAAATGCATCAAGCAAATAAACCTGATAGGTTTTTTTATTTCTCACTTAATGATCGTATTGGTTGAGGGGAAGGTAATGAAGTGTTGGTCATACTTGCACTCCAGTGGTAACTTTTTGGGGAGAGGTAAAGTTCATTGTTAATCACTGATTTTTAACAGAAGTAATTTTTCATCACTACAATTCTTTCAGAGACAGTTAGGTTCTATGTCTACGTTTTCCTTATTGCAGTTTAAGTTTCAGTAAGTACAAGATTAGATAGTCTTTGTTTACTAGACTTATATGTTTGAAGTCATGTCGGACACTAGAAAGATGAATCATGTCTCACTGCTGTAAGTGGTAGTTTTATTATTCATAGTTCCATATTTGTTTATATAAGAATTATGTAACATATTCCTATCTTTACATCCTGGCTGCTTAACTGATATTTTTACTAATAAATAAATTGGCAGTCAAAAGTTAAATATTCTATAATAATGGTTCTCTTACCTATGAAATAAGCTTAATCTATAAAAAGTTCATGGGGTCAATTTTTCCTTTTTTAAGGACAGAAAAGTGATTGTGAAAACAATGAAGACTTATATTGAAAAAGTGGCAAATGTAAGTAGAGCAGAAGGATATTTCATTATTTTAAATAGTAGATGAATTCATATCTTATAGGAAATTGGGTAATTCAGAAAATTGGCAAGAACAAAATTGATATAATTTATTGTAGTCTATGCATATGTCTATCTTTTTCTATTATTTACATAAAGTGGGGTTCCTATGACATGTGTTCTTTATTTTCCCCTTTTGTGTGGCTATAAAAGTATGTGTCTGTGTATATGCACACATATGCTAAAACTGATATAGTTTTTTTTTATTACTACCAAAACCATAGCAAGTTAAAATGTGTCTTTTTTTCCTATGGCAAACTTCAGTTGTGGTTATGGAAAATTTGATTAGTTAAATATTTTAGATCCTTTGAATCCTTTGGAGATGAAATAATAGCTTTGTAATGGGGTTACTGGGTATAAAAGATAGTTTTTCCTGAGGATTAATGGCCTCCAAAATAGTTTTCGTATGTATTTAGATATAAAGGATTTTTGTATGTTACTATATAGTAGTATAAATGTGTATATAAATAAATATACTATAACTAGAATACATATACTAAATATAATCTTTTTGTGTTGATTGATGATTTAGTTCATCAGGAATTTTCTCATTTACTGGGGAATGGAATATTTCATAGTCAGCAACTTATTACTGCAAAAACTCCATGAAAACTACTAACAATGATACATGCCTAATAGAGCAACTGCTAATTCAGACTAAGATAAAATTGATTCTGTGTGATTGTATTTTGCAGTGCTAGGGCTTAGAAGAGCTAGTAAGAAACCACTGAACCACTGCTAGCTTTGCCGGAACAAAGTAAGATGTAGTGTTCTGTCATGAGCTGTTGCTGAAGTCTGAGAATATTTTATGATGCAAATGTCAATTTTAAACTTAAGTTTGATGTGAGTAAAAATAGAATGTTAATAGAACGTTCTAAACTGTATGGACATTTTAGAGCTACTAAATTAATTTGATTGCCTTGATTTTAGAGTTTGCTTATATCAGTAAATTCAACAGTGGTTGAAGTTTGTGTTTTTGACTTCTAAAGGGAACAATAAGCCCATGGGTTTGAATGATTAATTACTTAGAAGTATTATTTAATTTTCAGATATTGGTGGTTCTTGGTCTAACCGGATGCTTTTCTGTTTCCTTTTTTCTTTTTTTTTTTAAAGTCTATCTTATCTCTAGAGTATAATTAACTAGGTCCTGATAGAAAGTTCATTTGTGTGGCTTTTATTCACTTGTATTTACATTGTGTTGGACAAGTTGTCAATGTCAGTAACCTTTATACAGTGACTCCACAGGAAGTAAGAGGCAAAATCTTTGCAGTGTTTCTCACCTCTCTCGTTTCCAATTTCAGGGCCAGTACTCTCACTTGGTGTTGTTGGCAGCATTTGATTGTATTGATGATACTAAGCTTGTAAAGCAGATAATCATATCCGTAAGTACTTCTTAAGGTTTTGTGTTCAAGTCACTTCTACTTCAGTAGAAGAATGCATAAATTTGATTTCACACATGCTGTGTAAAGACTTTTCTGTGTATTTTTTTTTTACCAGCTTTTTCGATATGTTTTAGTACTCAAGTGTTATTTTGGAGTTTCTCTAATCCTATAGAAGTCATAGCCTTGTAACTTGATACTAATACTGCTTAAATTAATTAAAGACTGGTTAAATTAAGGCTTAGTCCTTTTATTTTGGCCTGGAATACCACACATGGTATATTACACTGTTCAATATACTAAAAAATGGAAGCAGTGTTGAGATTTGTTCAGAAATTTGTTTTCATAGCATCACAACATTCTCTCTATACACACTGCCTCTGAAGTTCTTTATCAGTCCATGTGGGCTGGGCTGAAGGGGTAAATAAGAAAGGCTCATAGAACTTGGTCATGGAGCCTTCTAAAGCCATATGAAAGCTTTTGTAGAGCCAGATTAAAAGACTAACTTCCTTTTACATTTCAACAGTTCTTTCGACTCTGGTATAGTGACTACATAAAGTTGCAAGTACTACAGTCAAGAAGCTTGCTAATAAAATTACCTTTCAGAAAAACTCTGAAATAGTTGTTATCTCAGGAAACTATTCCTAAGGAAAGATCATTTTCTGAACTATTGGTTTTTCATTTATCCTGCAATGGTTGTTCCTTTTTCTGACTGATTCCATGATTCCCTCTCTCCTGTTACCTTTAGTACTCAAGTGGTGTTGAGAAGGTGGTAGAGATTGCAAGAGTGGGAATAAACTATTTCAATGTTAGTAGAAGTGGCCAGAATTGGAAATACCTTGAAAATCACATAATCTGTAAACCATAATTTGTTCATCTGAGGATGAATAGGTTTACACTAGTTAACAGGTTTACGCTAGTTGATTTTTTTGGGAAAATCTTGGTGACAGATGGTACTGTGGGTGAACCTGAAAAATCTACCTGTTGTCAGGTGGTTGTGCTGTAGCCCTCTGCACCCTCTGTAGCCCCTACTGTGGACTAGTATTACTTGGTGTCGGTAGCAAATATATGTGCTAGTAGAAGGAAGGTTTGTTTCCCTAAATGCCAGCTATCAGTCCAGCGTGTGAATTTCTCATGCCCTCGCTGTCATTCTCAAACTTTGTTCTTTACTATTTTAAGATTGTGAAGACTTTCTTTGGGATAGGATTGTGGGAAGAAACCAGTTGGCGAGACCTGGATGTCACAGATCCAGTAGTTTGACATTTTTCGTGTGACTCTATTACCCTTTGACTCCAATCAATAGTGACTGTTTTTCATTCCTGTGACAGAGATGGGAGGCCATGGAATTGGCTAATGAATAAAGTTGTTTGACAGGAATGGAAACAGGCTGAGCTTTTCAAAGTTTGCCTTTGTTGAATATTTTTACAACAACTGAAATTTGCATACTGTTCCAGTTGGATTCAAACTTTCTTCAAGAGTCCCCAGAATTATGTTGGATTAATTTGTTTTCCCCAAAAATTTCTTCCACTTAAAGTTGCTGTTAAAACAGTTTTAATTCCTGTGCTTATCATCTCAAGGACCACAACTATTTAACCCACATTCCTAAAGACTCTTACTTAAGACAGCTTCCCCTGAATGGCTGGCTCTTCCAGTCCTGCCTTTCATCCATCTCTCACTGACAAATGCGCCACAGGTTCTGTGTATTATTAAACTATGCAGCCCGTGATAAAATTCTGGAATGCTAATTGCTCTTGCATTTTCCCACCCATCCACCACAAAAACTTGTTGCGCTGTGCCCAGCCTTTGAAAAAAAAAGTTTTAGTGTTGCAAAGATGTAGATTCAGGGTACCCAGATTTCCTGAACTTGAGATCACAGCCTGGTTAACAGCCTTTCTCCCTTTCAATATGGATACAAACTATTTCTTTTTTATTTTACTTTTTGAAATAAACATATTAGAAAATATGATCCAGTCTGCAGTGGAGGCACTGATCTGTGCAGCTGGTTGAACAGCAGAGTTCCTTGGAAAGGGAATTGGTACATTTGCCTGTTGCTATTTGAGGTTGAATAAATATTAATGCATAGTTTTAATGCCTTATAAGAGTACTTAAAGATTAATACAATAAATACTCTAATAAAATGTCTGTTAGATGTGAAGTGTAATATTATTTTGAATATTTACACGTTTTCTGTAAGAGACATGGCATCTGTATTCTGCCAGGTGCTTTTTACATTTGGCTTTATATTATGAGATTTAGCATGAGGGCTCAGGACGCCTTTTTTGTAAAGGGCCAGGTAGTAAATATTTTACAACTCTGGGTAATCCAGTATCTCAAATTCTTATTTGTTTATTCTTCTTAATAACTCTTTAAAACATAAAATCCATTTTTTATTATCAAGGTGAGTTACAGAGGGGTTACAGTTACATAAGTAAAGTAATAAGTACATTTCTTGTCAAACTTTTTACCCCACCCCTCATTTTTCTCCGGAAAGTAAAATCCATTTTCTTAAGGCAAGGCTGCAGGCTGGATTTGACCCATGGACCATAACTTCCCTGGTTTTGTCATAAATCACTTATTTCTTGTGGCCAAGTAGTATTCTGTATAATACATTGTAATTGATTTATTTTGTTGTATTTTCCTGGTGATAGATATTTATTTTTTACAGTATTTTTTGTTGCTTTTGTTTTTTGTTTTTAAGACTGGGTCTTACTATGTAGCTGACTGGCTGGCCTGGAACTCTCTCTCCTGAGTGGCCTCGCAACTTACATTCCTTCTGCCCCTGCCTCCCAAACTCTTAAGATTACAGATGTATGCTACCATTCCTGCCTGGTTGGTTGTTTTTTGTTTTTGTTTTTATTTTCCAGTTTTCAAAACTACTTTTTGAGGAGCTATCAGTGTAAGCTTAGTGGTAAAGCACTGGCCTAGCATAAAAAGTACTCAATCCCATCTTTGCGCTGAAAAATAATTAAACAGCAATCCCCAAGCCCTGAAAAAGGTTCTTTACTTTGTATTAGATTTTGCTATTCCAGATACTTTTGTGAACAAACTTTATTTTATTAAGTAGTTGTCCACAGAGTAACAATTCTCTAAGTCAAGGTTAAGTACAGGGCATGTTGATCAGTGTTAGCCCTTTCATTGTTCTTCCACTATTTTCCTCCTCCAGCCCTCAAGTTAGGTAGTTGAGTTTTGCAGTCAGGTTTACTTATACACACATTCAAAGTTTCTCTAAGGCATTGCTTACCAGAATTGCTGGGTTGTGGGAGCTTGTTGGCACTTACACAGTCATGTGTCTGTTTACGCAGTTACTATAAAACCCATTGCCTTATGCAGCCAAGAAAATGCAGTATAGTTGAGTATTCTCTTTCCAGTGACTGCATTTTCTGCATGGCAGCTTGAAATCATAGCTTGATAATCACTCCTTACGTTCTGCAGTCCAGCCCCCAGATAGTGTTCTCTGATAGCCCAATCAGATCTCATGTTGTTCCTTTTACCATTCATTCACATAACATTTAATCTAATCTGATACAGGGTGTACAGACTTAGAGATCTCCATCAACTAGATGGGGAAATAAGTGGGACAGGTCAGGTGGGATGAGGAGCTAAGGAGAATGATGTTGTGTGCCTTCTCTAAGGTGGCCCCTCTTGCCTTAATGCTGTCAGTTCCACATAGACCCTTCTGGGTTTTTTTTTTTCCTTTTAATTGAGGTATGATACCTATTGTAAAAGATACCTCCTTAACCAGTGTTAAGTGTATTATCAATAGTAGTAGTAGTAGTAAATGTCTTCATATTGATGTACAACCCGTCTCCAAGACTTTCAGTATTGCAAAACTAAAACCCTGTTGAGCTATACCTACCAGTTTTTCAATGTAGCCAAAAAGGTACTGTGCAATAAAATTCCACAGGGTTTGTTTGTTTACTGTACTGGCTAGAACCCAGGGCCTCACATTTGCTGGCCAGCACACTAGTACTTCTTCCATACCCCAGTTCTCTTGCTTTCAGGGTGTTTTTAGATAGGCTCTGGGGCTACCTTCTCCTGGGTTGGTCTCAAACTTTGAAAACTTCAGTCTTCCCACTTTGCCTCCTAAGCAATGTGGTGTTACAGGTATCTGCCACCATACCCAGCCCTAAAATGCCCACTTTTTTTTTTTTTTGTCCTCAGTTATGGTGCCTGAACTCTGAGCCTGGGCGCTGTCGCTCAGCTCTTCAGCTTAAGACTAGCACTCTACCACTTTGAGCCACAGCACCACTTCTGGCTTTTTTCTGCCTGTGTGGTGCTAAAGAATCAAACCCAGGACCACATGCATGTGTGGCAAGCACTCTACCACTGAGTCAACTTCCCAGTCCACCCACATTATTTTTAAAGTAAAACAGGAGGCTACAGAGTAGTCTAACCTTCCTTTAACATTTCTGTTAATATCCATTATTTAAATTTCTTATATTTTTAACTTATCATTAACTCATCCATTTTTCTATATCTTAGCTTCTTATGGCCAACATCGTTTTTATTTCTTCTTATCCCTATACATGAACTTTGGCTGGTTTTTGTCTCCTGTGGAAAATCTGTTTACTCTAACTCTATTTCCTGTGTGTGTCTGATTTGACCTTTACCTGGCCTCTTTGAAGAAGGTTGGCAAAGAAAGTGCCACGGCATTTGGCAGGAGGTCAGAGCTGGCCAAAGATATCTTGGGAGGGAGGCCATCATTCTCCTATGCTTCTGTTTTGTTCACACTACTGCTTTAAAAGACAAAATTCCAATAAAAGGCTTCATGGTTCTGAAGTGTGTTCTTAGGGAAGAAACTAAGACAAACTTAAATGTATCATTGTTTGTACTGTTTCTCATAAGGGAGAAAGCTATGACTGCCACATTTAAGGGTGTTGTAGAGTGACAGGCATGTGTTCAATGGGAAAACGATGACTTTAAGGCAGAGTTGAGTTCGTGTGCATGTCCTGGTGTGCTGGTGGGAACATCCTGTGGGTCAGGGTGGTATGTCATTTCCTGTACAGACGAGGGAGCTGAAGTCCCCAGAAAGTGGAGGATTTTCAAAACACAGCTTGCCAGCTTACCAAAGTCAGTACACTATCATCTGTCCATGCCATCGATATCTGGCTCCTATCTGTTTATACACGCTAAAGAAATTGTTAGTTTTCTCCACATGATAATCTAGAATTTCTGTCCCTTTTCTCTGTAATGACGGTTAAAGAGAAATAGGGCAGTGCTAATTAACACCTGCTTGTGTTGTGTTTTGAGTGACAGGGAAAGCTGGCATGAAAGTGAAATGGCCATGAATTAAGTATTACATGTTTAATACCGCTTATTTATAAAAGCTGTATACATTCAACATTTTAAACTGAAAAAACTTGAATTTAGAGTTTGAAATTCTTCACAGCCTGTGGCAGTGAAGTTCGGGACATCTTGGGACTAGACCCGAATGCATTTATGTGCCGATTTTATGTGTCCCTTCAAGTCTTGTTGTAGTACAAAAGCCTTTTCTGCTCAATCAGATGTGTGGAACCAATGAAAAAGCATTGCTGCTTGGTGTCCCCTTTTGTCCTTGTACCAAGGAAAATGTACTAATTAGGATAGAGTAGCTATTACAGGTTTTTTGTTTGTTTGTTTGTTTTTTTTGGTCTGGTCATGGGGCCTGAAGTCTGGGCCTGGGCGCTGTCCCTCAGCTCTTCAGCTCAAGGCTAGCGCTCTACCACTTGAGCCACAGCTCCACTTCCAGCTTTTTTTCTTTTTGCTTATGTGGTGCTGAGGAATTGAACCCAGGGCCTCAGGCATGCAAGGCAAGCGCTCTACCACTGAGCCACCTTCCCAGCCCATGAGTACATTTCTTTTTTTTTTTTTGGGTCCAGTCGTGGGGCCTGAACTCTGGGCCTGGGTGCTGTCCCTCAGCTCTTCAGCTCAAGGCTAGAGCTCTACCACTTGAGCCACAGCGTCACTTCTGGCTTTTTTCTTTTTGTTTATATGGTGCTGAGGAATCGAACCCAGGGCCTCAGGCATGCAAGGCAAGCGCTCTACCACTGAGCCACCTTCCCAGCCATTTTATATTCTTCACCACAGTTTTTCTCTCTTGTCTCTCTTAGAAAGAAGAGTTACAATGTAATTACACTCCACATTTTTGTTGTTCAGTTAGTCTTTGAGAAAAGGTCTGCTGTGTAGCCCAGGCTGGCCTCCACCTGCGATCCTCCTGCCTCAACCTTCTGCTGGCACTACAGCAGGCACATCACACTTTACCTGGCCACCAGCATCCTTTTTCTTTAGTAGTGGTATACTGGAATCTGAACTTGATTGCCTAGCACCTAGGCAAGCATGGTACTTCTTGAGCCATATCCCTAGCAAACTTATTTTGCTTTTATTACTTGCATAGTCTTCCAGATCCTCTTAATTACCCTTCCTACATAGCTGGCCTGCACTCAGTTTTTTTATTGGTTGAGATGATGGTCTCATGAACTTTTGCCTGAGTTGACCTCAAATTTCAATTGCCCCCTGATTCTGCCTCCTAAGTAATTAAAATTATGGGGTCATGAGGTATTGTACCTAGCCAGTCATTTTTTAAAGGACCACAAAGGATTGTTATTTTAAAAGTATTGAAAATAGCCTAGACTATTTATCATTCTCATCCCTTTTCTTTAACAAGTTAAATAACGAAACATCTGCCCTCTTGTGAGTTTGTTGAAGTGTCAAACAGGTCCCTAAAGGTACAGTAAAGATACACCATCGATCCGCTGTGTTTGTGGCACTAAACACCTCACTCTCAAAAACACAGGTAACAAGATCCAGTGGCTCATGTCTGTAAGTTTAGTTAAGAAGAGGTTGAGAGCAGAAGTATCAAGTTCTAAGACCATCCCTGGCAGAAAAGTTCAAAAATAACTAGTAAAAATAGCTGGGTGCTGGTGGCTCACACCTGTAATCCTAGCTACTCAGGAGGCTGAGATCTGAGAATCATGGTTCAGTGCCAACCCAGGCAGCAAAGTCCGTGAGACTCTTATCTCCAGTAAACCACCAGAAAACTGGAAGTGGTGCTGTGGCTCAAGTGGCAGAGCACTAGCCTTGAGCTGAAGAACTGAGGGACAACACCTAGGCCCAGAGTTCAAGCCCCACGACCGACCAGAAAAAAAAAAATGACCAGCAAAAAGCAGGGTTGAGAGAGTGGCTTTAGTAGTAGTGTACCAGCCTAAGCAATGTTGCCCTGAGTTTAAAATTCAGTACTACCCTCAACCTCTGCAAAACAAAAAAAACGACATGTCACAAATCTCCTTTTGAGAGTTAGTAGAGTTTGATTCTATGTAGTAAATTTTGTACATTTCTTTTTCAATTCTCTTTTTCTGTCTTCCTTTGTACTACTGAAATGTTAAGTTCTTTTTCTTGGGAGGGTAAAATTCTCTATGCATTTTGAGATGGTTAGAGCTATTGAGTCTTTCCTGAAAACTTATTTGGAAATCATTATGCTGACCTTAACTTCTTTAGAAGTACATAGGAGAACCAAGTGGGGGGTGGGGTCCTGGGACCAGGGCACTGGCGGTGTGAAAATCATTTAACATGACAGATGAACAGCTCTCAGCACTGTTCTGCACCGAGTAAGCACTTAATGCACTTAATGAGTGTTAGCTACTCTTACTCATTATCAGAAGTGCATAGGGTTTTGTGCAAAAATTTAGGGAGGCTTAGGACTTTGCAAAAAGAAACATGATGTGTGGGGATCTAAAGCTACAGTATCAACTGTGAGATCCTGAATTTTGCTGCATGTTCATCCTGTGGCTGGTAGCTGACTTAATTAATGTATTGGCTTCTTGTACTAAGCTCTCCCAATAAATAGACATTTTAAAGTAACGCCTACCTGACTGTGTCATCACAGAATTCCTGCCCCTCAAAAGTTATATGGGTTTTGTTTGTTTTAGAACAATTTGGAGTTAGGACTAATCAGAACCCTGCCTCACATTATTATATCATGTCCTTTCTTCTTTCTGAACTCCCCCTCTGTAAACCTGGCCAGTTGAAATGACTTCTTTCTGTGGCCCCAACCCAGTTAAGAAGAACCTATGGTATTTAATCTCTTGTGCAATTGAATATTTATGAAGTTTGTTACAAGAAATGGGAAGTTAGAAGGGGAAATTGTGATGATTTTTTTTCATTGTGTTTTCTCTGTTTAAAATAAAGCAATTTCTTATGGCAGTGACTTTCTCAGATCGATGTGGGAACTTAGTGGGATCCAGGCACCATTGCTTTTGTCACTTGGGTCACCCATTAGCAGGGGAGGCCCTCAATCCTGGGTATGTGGAGGGAAAGGCCATGCAGAGAGATTAGTAACTGCATGGGGAATCTGCCCTCCTCCATACACTTCAGTTTTCATTACAGTAGTCAGCTTTCATTTGACATTGATAAACAACAACTTTCAAAGCCTTTAACCACTTACTCTTTTCAATAGTGTCTTTATTTTCCTCCCTCACTTTGGTCTCAGCTGAGAAATTTAAAAGGGGCGTGTGTATCAGTGGGGCGCAGCTGCAGATGAGCTCTATCTACTCAGTGACCTCAGCTAATGCTTTCTCTGGTAATATTGGCCTAAGAAATATTGGTCATAGTGAATAGAGATAGCTCCTTAAGTCCTTGGGCTTGGTCAGTGACTATCAGTGGGTGATTTAGTAATACCAGTCACTGTATTGACTCTGTGTTCCAAATGTGAATCTCCTGAGTTGATTTTAGAACAGAATGAACTTCACCTTTGCCATTAAGTACAGTAGTTAAGTGTATATTCTTCATTACCATTGATGTCCAAGCATACATGAGGAATGCAGCTAACAGTTGACTTTTTTATGTGTAACTTTATAGGAAATTATTAGTTCTTTGCCTAACATAATAAACGATAAATATGGAAGAAAGGTCCTGTTGTATTTACTGAGTCCCAGAGATCCTGCCCATACGGTCCGAGAAATCATTGAAGTTCTGCAAAAAGGAGATGGCAATGCCCACAGGTAAATGACCCGACTTAACTTCAGAAATTTACTCACACACATACACACCTCTCGCTCACTTCTTCCTTTCCTCTCTCTTTAAGGCTTCTCAAAAGATGAATTCTATTTTTAAACCTATAATTTTGACAGATTAAGTTCTCAGAAAATGCAAAACTTACATGTCAGAAAAAAACCTCTGAGCACCTAAATGTAGCAGTTACTCAGTTATGTGATCCAGTTTTCTTTGTTCTGCTTTATTTTCCAAGCTACTGGTAATCATGTGTTTTGAGTATCCTAGAAAGTAGGGTCCACACACAAGTATTATAAACATATGCTATCTTGTGGATAGCATATTATTTTTGTGTGATTTTAGATGGGTTTGGAGTGTGTGTGTGTGTGTGTGTGTGTGTTTTATTTCATAAGCCACACTTCATTTATTCAGTGCTTGTATATGCCAGGCACTATTCATATCCAGGGGATGCAAGCTTAATGTGAGTGTAGACAACTATTAATGGAGTGTGATCCAGACTTGATAAGCTTTTCAGGGTTTTGTGTTAATAAGATCAGCCTCTTTCCTTTGTCATTCATCTTAACATACCACTTCATTTAACATACTCCCAACAGTAAGAAAGATACAGAGGTACGCCGCCGAGAGCTCCTGGAATCCATTTCCCCAGCTTTGTTAAGCTACCTGCAAGGACATGCCCACGAGGTGGTGCTGGATAAGTCTGCCTGTGTGCTGGTGTCTGACATTCTGGGATCTGCCATTGGCGACGCTCAGCCTGCCATGAATGCCATCGCCAGCTTGGCAGCAGCAGAGCTACATCCAGGAGGCAAGGATGGCGAGGTAGCATACTGTTATAATATAAGGAGAAAGCCCCAAGGGTATAAAAATGCCATTAGAGAAATCACTACGATGTAAAGACCTTTAATATTAACTCACATCGTATCATTTGATAATGATCAAAAGGCTGGTGGCTTATGCTCAGGGACATGAGATCAAGAAAATCTTAATCCAGGGCTGGGAAGGTGGCTCAGTGGTAGAGTGCTTGTCTTGCATGCATGAGGCCCTGGGTTCCATTCCTCAGCACCACATAAGCAGAAAAAGCCAGAAGTGGCACTGTGGCTCAAGTGGTAGAGCGCTAGCCTTGAGCTGAAGAGCTGAGGGACAGCGCCCAGGCCCAGAGTTCAAGCCCCATGACTGACAAAAAACAAAAAGAAAATCTTAGTTCATAAAAGTTCACAGAACTGAAGGTGTGGTTCAAGTGTTTGAGTACCAGCCTAGCAAGTGTGAGGCCCTGAGTTCAAATACTCCCAAAAAAGAAAAATTGTAGTGGTTTCATATTACCACAGTAAAACCACAATCCCCACTGTGATCTGTTCTCCATGATTCGTCTGTGCTGGATAAGGAGAGACACACTCCCTCCTCCCACCCCCAGGTACTGTGGGATCATTGTAATCATTTGTGTTTAAATAATACATCCCAGAGGTTTCTTTGTACCTCAGAACTCTAGTTAGCACCTGAAAAGTGCTCTGGTAAGCATGATTTCAGATGAGCTTTGCGGTGGTGAAGTTCACCAAGGCGAGCCTGAACTGCTTTGTGGGGATTGCAGTCTTGCATAAATACATTTATTTTGGCCTGGCAAGTAGCAAAAATGTGCGGTCTCTAGAATGCTGTGTATTCTAGATAATGACCTTTTAAGCCTTTAAAGTTGACTGACTTCTTATCTGTATGTGGTGATGGAGCTTGAATTGTGGGCCAAAGATGGACGAAAACAGCTTTTGAATTAATATGTTCTTGCTTCATCATAGCTTCATGTTGCTGAGCATCCTGCGGGACATCTAGTTCTGAAGTGGTTAATAGAGCAAGATAAAAAGATGAAAGAAAATGGGAGAGAAGGTAGGCTGTACCTTTCTTGTATCTTATGTAGAATTTCTGCAATTCCTGGCATCCTTGGACTTTTCACTGTCTTTTGAGTTCACGTACGATGTTTGTCAAATGTTTAAAAATGATAGCTGAATAAAAAATGACCTAGTGATTAGGAATGGTGCTCTTTCCCCAGGGGAAGTTGTGTTGAAGATTCCTTTGGGGTTTATTTTTTGGTTTTGTTTTTGGCTTTCTTACCCTCTCTTTTCTTTTCCCTTTCTACTACTTCAGACTTTTAAGTGGATTCAGTCAGTTACCTAAAATGCCAGTCTGTTCCTTGAGGATGGTATAATATTGCCTCTCATTGAAAGGCATGATTTTATCTCTAGTTTGGAGAAAGGTATAAGCAAGAGGAAATTACGCTCTTTAGAATTTTGCACAGGTTCCAGTTTGTTTGGCATTGAGATACATGTGACTGCAGAGCAAGCCAGTCTTGGTGCTTTCTCTAAGCCAAGCTGCTCTGAAGAATCTCAGCTCTGGAGTGTGGGCAGTATCTTCTATGCAGCTACCATTCCCCTCTCAGACTTTTCTTTATATTGGATATTTAAGCTACTAACGGGGTTCCCCCCACAGGATTAAGACTGTTTCAGCTTTCTATTACTGTGGCAAAAAAAAAACCAACTCAACAAGCGAGAGATCAAGAATTTATGAATTAAAGGCAAGCTGAAGTTGTGAGGCCAGGAATATAATAGTAGAGCTGTTATTTCTTACTCAGCCTTTCAGAATAAGGACCAGTTTTCACTGCAGCTTATATTGAAGAGAAAGCATGTAGTGAAGTATCTTTCTCATTAAAACATTAAAAACATTGTTATGGCTGGGTGTTGGTGGCTCACACCTATAATCGTAGCTACTCAGGAGGAGATCTGAGGATCATGGTTCAAAGCCAGCCTAGGCAGGAAAGTCCGTGAGACTCTTATCTCCAATAAACCACCAGAAAACTGGAAGTGGCGCTATGGCTCAATTGGTATAGCACTTCCCTGGAGCTTGAAGAGCTGAGGAACAGGACCCAGGCCCAGAGTTCAAGCCCCACGACCAACAAAAAAATAAAAAATAACAACAAAAAATGTTACAAAGTTGATTATGCCAGAGGAATTGTTAAAGCCCAAGAAATTTTCTAGTGATTTTCTTTTCTTAATGAAAATATGAAAAGAGAAGAGGAAAAGACAAAGGGGAGAGGAAGGAAAATACAGGGAAACAAAGGGAAGGAAAGGAAATGCTCCGATATTCCTATGCCTGTATGGGCCTGCTGTTTTTCATTTTCAGGTAGCACCAAATGATTGTATCTAACTGTTTTCATCATTGCTGTATCACAAGCCACCTCAAAGTCTAGTAGTTTCCAAAACAATCATTTGATCAAGAGTTTGGTCGAGCTTACCTCTGGCCTGGAGTTGCTCAGTTTCATATTGGAGTATCCACCACGACAGCAGCTCACTACTAGGCTAGCAACTTGGTACTGGGTATTGGCCAAGAACCAATAGTTGCACTTCTTCCTAGGTTCTTGAGCTTCCTTACCCTGGTGGTTAGTTCTTTAGAATCAATCTCCAAAGGAAATAATGCCATAGTACTTTCATGATTTAGCCTCAGGAGTTTTCTGGTGTTGTTCTTACCATGTTCTGCTAAAGGCAATCAGGACTACTACCAAGATTTAACAGAAGACCTATTGGGGGAATGGGTTTTCTAAACATACACACAGCACATAAGATGTTGCTGTGGTCATCTTTGGGAAACAAGCCATGCCACTAGCTGATCTCTGTCCCTCTTAAACAAGTTCATGGGAGGCTGGATAGCCATAGGTCCTGTGGCTCATAAAGGATCTTTACCTTTGGTTGTCTTTGATTGAATTGTACATGCTACCCCACCAAGATGTTTGCATTTAAGGTAAGCCATCCCTTCTTCCAGCTGCACTAAATTGCTGCCATTAGAATTCTTCTTTGTCAAAGAATGAGTCACACTTACATGACATAGTTAGATAATACATAGAACTTGAGAATCTGAAGTACATACTAGAGTGAAGAGGAATAGTAGTCTTGATGTGTAGATATCCAAGTGTTGTAGGGAGAAGATGCTCTGTGCATTGTAGAATAGTCATTCTATTGTTTAGTGGCACCTTCTGCGAGAGCATTCCTCCACGAGAGAAAACTTGATTTCATCCAGCCACAAGGTGCTACCATCAAACATCTGTTTCCTGAATAACTATCAAATCAGCATTCAATCAGTAAATACTGTAAAGAAATGTAAACATGACCAAGTAAACCTTTTTAAAACTTTTGTAAGCTTAAAGGTGGTAAAGAAGAGGAATAGAAGTTTGCCAATGATGTTCATTAAGTTTCTATATATTTTACAGGTTGCTTTGCAAAAACACTTGTAGAACATGTTGGTATAAAGAACCTGAAGTCCTGGGCTAGTGTGAATCGAGGTGCCATTGTTCTTTCTAGGTGTGTATAATTGATGTCTTTCTCTGTGCAGAATCTGATTATGCAAAAAATAGAATTCCTTCCCATTTATGTCTGATACAGTATCATTTTTCCCAATAATAGTTTGATATTTCTGTGTCTTTCATGGTCTATGGTTCAGATGTGTCCACCAGATATGGTTCCTTCAAAAAAAATCAGTTCTCAGAATTTCTTTTAATTGTCCACTTTTAGGTGTCAAAGATCATAGAATTATAACATATACAAAGTATCGTGTGATGGTTTTGCTATATTAAAAACATAAATGTATATGATAACCCTAGTATGGGGCTTGAATTCAGCCTTGAGCTCTTGCTTGACGTTTTTGCTCATAGCTAATGCTCTACCACTGAGCTATGTCTCCATTCTGGATTTTGTTGGTTAATTGGAGAAAAGAGTTTTGAGATTTTGTCTGCCTGGGCTGTGTTTGAACCTCAAATCTCAGATCTCAGCCTCCTGAGTAGCTGAGATCAGAGATCTGAGCCACTGGCACCCAGTAATATTTTTTCCTTCATGGATAAGTTCTGTCTCCATGTAAACTGCAACAATGTTTTTTGTTATACCCAAGTTTATAAAATAATTGTATTTAGTGATTCTATAAGAATTCATGAAGAGTTTGTAGTTAAAACTCTGTATGCCCGTTGTCTATTTCTAATGTAAAATGAAGGGAAATTGGTGGTGTGAGAACTGGTGTGAGAACTAGAAATTGTTCTCTGGACTATAGAGTTTATAATTTACAGGTCATTGAAATTTCCTTGCATTTTATGCTCAGATAAGCCCCTTCTGTTAGTAACATTCATTTTGAAAGATTTGTGTGCTGCTTTAGCAGTTACTTGATTTTCTTCCCCTGCTGTGTTACCACGGTTTCAGAAACAAATACTAATCCAAGCTTGGTTTTCCCACCACATTTCATTTTACTTGCAACTTGCTATATAAGTTTAACAAATGTTAGGTTAAATATTTCTGTAATGTATAGTGTGAGCTAGTATGCATGTATGCAAATACTCAAGAGCATTTTTATTTTCCTATGGGCAATGTCTTCAAATACATGTGGTTTGTACAGATCATTTTATTTACATCTAATTAAAAATCGTTAGTTTTCCAATAGATGTTGAGTGGCCATAATCCATTATCTAAAACAACTTTTTTTCATAACTTTATTAGGCCTTTGGAATGCTAATACCTTCTGACACATTCTTTCCTTATAATACTCAGTTAAGTAAATTAATGTTTTTTTTATTGTGAAAATACTGTACAGAAATCATATTTTTTTGAAGAGTGTGTTTGACTTCTTAGGTAAAATTTCCTGCTTTATTGAAGTTTTACTTGAAACTCATGTTTTCTTTTTGAAATTTTTTTGATGTATTTGTTTCTGTTGTCTGTTTCACTTGATCTTTTTACAGTAATGGGAAAGAAAGAATGAAAAGAAAGTCAGTCCGGTATGCTGTCTGTAAAAGAGCTTAGGTTAGGGGAGCAGAATACAATAGAATCTAGCAGCACTGGCTCTAGACACATTGCCTGGTTTTCAGTCCCATTTTACTGTCTCTCCTTGGGAAAATTCTTGAACTTCTGTAGTTTTCTGTATTTGTGGAACAAGGTTAACAAGAATTCTAAAGTGGTTGTGAAAAGTAAGCATATGGAATATATTCACTGAACATTAATTGGAATTATTGTTACACGTTTTTCATTGTGTGGTTAGCCAAGTTGTGTAGAATTTTTAAAATGTGAATGAGACATCAATTAAAAGGGCACTTTACCTGCACCCTTTCTCAGCTCTGAGGTGGCAAGCTGTAGAATATTCTCTTTCCTACTCAGTAGAATGCTACATGGGGCTGATAACCTATTCTTTTTATTGACAAGATGACTAGGGACTTTGGGAAAGGCCACGAGACTTCCTTCTAGAAATAATAGATCAGCATTTACATGTGGTCCTGAAGAACAGGAGAGAGGACTGGAAATTCAGGACAGCTGTTAGCAGTTTCCAGGCTTTCATGAACTGTAGTGGTAGGCTACTTGGGCAAGGTTTTAGAAAGCAGAAGCTAGGGCTGTTTTGTTTAATACCTAACATTTGTTGAGTGCTTACTGTTAGACCCTGCCTTCAGACAGTAGGTCATTTGAGTGTCAGAAAACAAACGTCTGGGGCTGAGGTTGTAGCTCAGTGGTAGAGCCAGTGGATGATTAGCCTTCTTGAGGCCTTGGGTTCAGTTCTCCTACCAAAAACCTCCCTTTGAGGGAGCAAGGTAGGTTCTGTTGTTATCAGTGTTGTTATCAGTTTTTCAGAAGAAAAACGTGTCACTCCTAGCTTCTAGCCTCACGCCTTTCTTCTCTGCACCCATTCACTTGGTTAAAGTCAGTACTCAAGGATTTTTCCCTTGGCCACCTGCTGTATTCAAGTGCCATGAATAAAGAAAAGAAATCACAAGTGTCTGCTCTGGTTTATACTCTGGATAGGGAAGTAAAACTATTCTATGTGTAGTTATTTTAAAGCGGGATGTATTTCTAAGATAATCAAAAGTCAGTTAAATCTTTGCTTGAGTGACTTCATCTTCAGGATTATAAAACACTTATGTGCTTTCAGAATATAGGATATTATCCTTCCTAATTCAGCTGGTTATTTTTTTTAATGTACACTCTATTTACAAGAGTTGAATCACAGTAAACTCTTTGGGTATAAGTATTGTAGATTATTTAGGCTTGTTATGAAACTTAATATTTGTTACTTTTTTTTCTCTTCAGTCTCCTACAGGGTTCTGACCAAGAGGTTGCAAATAAAGTCAAAGCTGGACTGAAATGCTTGATTCCCACACTGGAAAAAAACAAAAACAGCAGCAAAGGAGTAGAGACTCTGCTTGAGAAACTGGCTGCCTAGATGGAACCAGTTCAGAGCAAGATGGAACCAATTTTGTTGTTCGCTGGTTCTCTGTTCTGCTTTCCCAGTACAAAAAAAGGGGCTACAAGTGTTTCTTCTTTATATATGAATCTATTTATAAAAATGGTTTGTAAAGATGGTCTATTTTTGTTAAATCCCAGCTATTTCTGTCTTGGACTCCAAGCAAATCATAGTGTGAGGCAGTAATGTGGGAAGTTTGTCAATCATGAATGATGGGGTCAAATAAGTGGCTGAATGAGTTCATGCCTTTAGAGAAGAGTAGTTTGAGAAGGCTTCCTGGAAGAGGTGGAACTTGAAGGGCCATTATGCATGAGGAAGGCAGGACATGGAAAAAAGCCAAGAGGGATCTTGTGTAGGCAAGTGAGATGAAAATGGATGGGTCTGGGCTGAACTTGAGGCTTCAGTGGGGGCACCTTGCAATGGGGCAGCTGGCTTTTTAGCTGTTCTATACATTGAATTCTGTGTTAGGTTTCGTGTGAAATCAAGTCAGTAAGTGAAGCTCCTGGTGAGAAATGTGCTAGATGAATGAGCTTGCGTTGGTTCTCAGTGTCAAGGTCAGGGTCACTGGAAAAATGTCTTTGTTTCTGGAGGTTTTGTGTGTGTGTGTTTTTTTCCCATCCACATAAATAAAGTAGTTCTTTAGGGTGAGGCGTTCTCCCTAAGGACTGTCCCAAACCAAAAATGGATTTGAGGGAGAAGGAAGATGATGTAAATGTGTTACGGTGCAGAAGTTGTGAGTTCAGATAGGGTGTTCGAATAAACTGGGGTTAGCGTTTAGCTCAGCTTAGAAGAGTTGTAGATCATTCAGGCTCATGTCGCCGTGCTGCTTGCAATTCAGAGTCGGTCCTCTCTCCAAATAGCCTAATGTAATAGGACACCCACTCAAGTCCCACTGGAGTTAGACATGGGAGAACTGACTACCTTTCCTGTCTAAACTACAGGGTCCCAGGACTGCTCCCAACCCATAGCTGCCAGCCCTCTCCCACTCTCCCAAAGAGCAAAAGAGCCGATTCTTTTTCTGACTTTCACCCAACTGAGTCCCGGTGTGTGGGTGGGGGAACGAGGCAGAGATGAATGGGGCAAAGACAACATTAGAGCGCTCCTTTGTTTGACTAATACGTTGTGATTTGTGTTCTCCATATAAAGGACCCATTCAGAAAGACTGTGAAAAAGCCTTGCTATTTGGTCCGTTTTTGAACCCCAAGAGAATAAAGTAACATGCTCATAATTTTGAAAAGACCTTTGTAAAGCTAATAACAAAAAATCGGCCTCCTCTGCCTTACCCCTGTCTCACTCTCTGCAGAAAAGTTTCCAGTTATTCTTAACTCCTCTAAATTTCTAAATACACTGTTTCCATAGTATAGATTTCTTAGCAGGTTTGTATTTTTCCTTCCTATTAGAGAAAATACAATTTGGTTATTAATTTTTTTCCAGTTCTTTTTTTTGCTAGAATTATTTAGCTTCTTGTAGTTTGTTAGCAAATACTCCACAGTTTTCTTCCTTATTTCAGTCTAGTTAGGCTCCCATGGTATTCTGGTGTCTACTTCCCATGTGTCCACCTATCCTGACTGGTATAATTCTTTGGCCTAGTGTGTCTCAAGTGGTTCCTAAGAGAGAGATTACTCACTCAGCGGTATGCCTGTTACCCTCAGGTATGGTTTATACATTCATGCTAGTGTGAACTAACCATCGGGGACCATTTCTGAAGTTAGTGATGGGCTTAGCAGAACCAGAGCCAGTGAGCCTTGGAAGATTGGTGGTGTTTCTGGGAAGGATTTCTGAAATGCCAGGCCCATAGGAAGAAAGTCCCTTTGCTTCCCTCCAGTTTTGGTTTGATTCTGGAAGGTATTAGACCATCTTTCAGAGAGAAGATAACCTACATTCTAAGGGCGACTTAGCAAGAAGGAGAACTAATCTAGAAATGAGGATATTGACTTGCTGTATTAATCAGTTATACTAGCTCCAGCCTTGGGTTTCTAGTTAAGTGGAAAAATAAACCCTAAGTTTTGGTTCAGTCATTGCGAATTGGGTCTTCAGCAACCTGCGGTCAAAAGTATGCTGACTGGACTCACTGAATACTAATGTCCACATTATCTAGCATATGAGCCCAGTTCACATTCCACTTCCTTCTAGAGACATCCCTCTGGTTTTCTGGAAGCTTTAAACTGCACATCTACATCATTCTACATCTTCTTTTCACTGAAAAGGAAAGCCCTTTTTTTTTCATTCCCTGCATTTTTCCTCTTTGCCTAACACCCTTATTTCAATAGGTTATAGGCTTTCATGAAAATAAATGAGATAAAATTGTAAAGTGCTTGGAAGACCTATTTACTTGGGACACCCAGATATCTAGTTTAGCTGAATATAGGATTCTTTGGCCTCAGATTTTGGCAGTATTGGCCAGTGTCTTTAATGTACAGGTTGAAATGGCAGTTCAATGTCTTCTTTATCACAGTCTGGGATGGGAGCAAGTGGGATTAGACTTCTCTAAATTCATAGATTGTTCTTGTTTGTGTCTGTAGGTACTAGGGCCTCAAGCTAAGGTCTGGAGCTCTACCATTGTGAACCATACCTCCAGTCTAGCAATTTTGCTGGCTAATTGTTGATGGAGCCTCATAGACCTTTCTGGTCAGACTGGCTTTTTTTTTTTTTGGTCATGGGGCTTGAACTCTGGGCCTGAGTGCTGTCCCTCTGCTCTTCAGCTCAAGGCTAGTGCTCTATCACTTGAGCCACAGCACCACTTCTGGTTTTCTGGTGGTTTGTTGGAGATAAGAGTTTCATCAGTTTCCTGCCTTGGCTGGCTTTGAACTGCGATCCTCAGATCTCAGCCTCCTGAGTAGCTAGGATTACAGGCTTGAGCCACTGGCGCCCGACCAGACTGGCTTTTATCCATCATCTTCCAGGTCTCAACCCCCATGAGTAGCTAGGAATATAGGGATGGACCATGTATACACTTTAGATGTATAGCATTAAAAAAAAAAAATCCAGGGCTGGGAAAGTAGCTCAGTGGTAGAGTGCTTGCCTTGTATGCATGAGGCCCTGGGTTTGACTCCTCAGCACCACATACACAGAGCTTGAACTGGGTGCCTGTGGCTCAAGTGGTAGGGCACTAGCCTTGAGCTGAAGAGCCCAGGGACAGTGCCCAGGCCCAGAGTTCAAGCTCCAGAAATTAAAAAAAAAAATCCCCAGGCTTCTCATATTTCAGAAAGAAGAATGATGTACTCCCTGCAATAAGTAAAGCGTCTTGGTGGTTGGTGCTTTTCCTAGAGAGGTTTTTGGTTCACCATGGATATTGTAGACACCTGAAACTTGAGAAAGCCTTGAGGTGGGCTTTTCATGCTCTCTGCTGCTAGTGTCAGTATCTGTAGGCGTTTTGTCTGCCCACCTCTAGAGGGCAGTCTACCTGCAGCCAGCCTTCCAGTCCTCTGAAGGTTTTTCAGAACTGAGTACAGATCCTTTGCCCTGTGCTTGTGGAAAATTGAACCAGCCAGAAAGCCACAAAATAACACTGCCAGCTTTCTGCTAGGGTGGGGTCATAGTCATGAATATAGGACTACTCCCAATTACTTCCTTTCCCAAGGCTCATTCAAGACTTCCCTAGGATGTGGCACCTCATTTATTCAGTGCTGGGCACATCTTGGTGAGAACAGGCCCATACCTCTGCTTAGGCTGGGCCTTCAGCCCTCTCCTGAACCTTTCCCCTGCTGTTTGGTGCTTTTGTTCACCTACTGAGGGCGACTCTCCTTTGCCCTGTGGGCTCACACCATTTTCACTCTTTTAGCCTTCTGTCAACTGTTCTGGAAGGACCAGAGAGAACTTTGACAATACACCACTGTTGAGCAGCAGCAGTCTACCATGATTTTTAAGCCCGAAACTACAGACATGGTTTAATGGAGGGCTTATTTTCTATGGAAGTATCCACCAGAATACAGGGTAATTAGAAAACTCAGCTGTTTGTAGTTTCCAGTTTACACCAATTCCATGCTTTTCCCAGGAATCCAATGTCCACAAGAAAAGAGAACCCCGTTTTGCCTTAACTGTGCAATAAGCACTTGTATACGGAAATAATGGTCTACAGGATGTGCTTTCTGCATGACCTAACTTGGATTGCTCTTTAAGACGAGAGTTGGTGCTCTGTTTGCATTTTTACTGCGATTTTGTAAAGGTTGCATCTTAATTATAGCAGGCTCCTCTCTTTAAGGACTAAATCTTGCACAGATTCAAGGTAGGTATTCAGGATAATGGCCAAGAGAACACAAAGTCTCAGAGCAGCAGTTTAGCCACCATGATCAACTGAAACTATTGAACTATACAAACCTAAAACACTGCTGCTGAAACTCTAAAGAACTTTTGTTATCATCTCCCATCCTTTTGACATTTAAAACAACCACCTGCCAGTTCAGTGGCATAAATGGGTAATTCTGGCTACTTGGAAGTCAGAGATCAGAGGATCACAGTTTGAGCCCAGCCCAGGTATAAAAATTCTGGAGATTCCATTTTAGTAGTTGGGCACAGTGGTAAGCATCTGTCACCCCCAAATATGGCATAATATAGCCTGAGAAATAAAGTGTCTACCTTGAAAGTAACCAATGCAAAAAGGGGCCAGGAATATGGTGTAAGTGGTGGAGCACCCATCTAGCCAGGGTAAGGCTCTGAGTTCAATCCTCAGGACAGCCCAGAATAAAATACTACGAGTGCCCCAAAGCTCTTAAGATTTAACTGGGTTAATTTCAAGATGTTAGATGAAGATTCTCACCCAGGAGTTAACTGCATTCCAAGCACATGCAAACAGACACTGCTTGTGTGTACACAGTTCGCCCAAAGCAGAACTGCGCGAGACACTGCAGATGCTTCCACTGGCGTTCCTGAAAACAGTGGTGTTTGGAGTCTTTCATTAAAAAACATGAAACGTTTATAAGAATGTTTTGTCCAAGTTGTGAGCAAAGATTCATGCCCATTACTGAATGGGAAGTGGGCAGACAGAGCCACAGAACTACCACCAGAATGTGGGAATGAGAAATTTTGGCCCAGTATTTCTTGATCTTGGAAGATTAATTACATCAATGGGAAGAAATGATTAGCTCTGAGCCTGACCTTTTTGACAATTACTTGAATAGGTGA